TTAAATTTCTTGTAAAAATTGTTGAATAATCACACTGAGTTTGTAAACAATTTTTTTCACAACATCCTTTATCATAAGATTTTTTAAATTCATTATTTTGTAATAAATCAATCTCTTCATCTAATTTTTGATTATCATTATCTTGTTTTTCTAAAGTATCTTTTGTTTTATAATATAATGCTTTAAATATAGAAAGTTCATCTTCAGTCCAAATTTCATTATTCAAAAGATTATTTTCTGAATTTTCAAGAATTTCAAAATTATCTAATAAAGATAAATTATTATTTTCTTGATCTAAATATTGAAATTGTAAATTTGAAAGATCAGTTTGTAATTGAGTATTTTCTTTATGAGTTTCTTCAAAAATGGTTTTATTTAAAAAAAAACTAGACATTTTTATAAAATTTAAATTTTAAATAAAATAAATTTATTTAATACTGTACCAATAATTACATTATATTTATATAATTACAATTTACAAAAATTATATTTATATATCTATTGTAATAAATCTAAATAAATTACATGCAGATTTATTATAATAAGACTTAAAAGATTATTGTATTGCGATTTCAAAAAAACTAATTTGAAATAAATAAAAAAAAATTATAATATACATTAATGTTTCAAATTTAACTTTTTTGAAATAGCGTATTTTAAAATAACGCCTTAAAACATTATTACTAGCTAAAAGAGTTAATGCAGTTTCATATGTACGTATAACACCATTTTATGCACATAATATCTATCAATGCATTTATCTAAAATGCGCTTTATTTCTTTAACAATAGAAAAAAAAAAACATTGTTCAAATAAGTTTTGAACCAAATCCATAATTTTTTTTAAACAAAAACCTAATTTGCCATGCGCCCCTAACCCGCGCATAGCTATTGTAACCAACCAATTAACTTGTTACGTCTGTAAAGGTTATTCATCAATATTTACTCTAAAAAATGATAGAAACATTTGAACCAATTCACGGAATTTAGAAAAGAATTTTGTTGCTGGTAGTCTTTGAACACAATTCATCTGAATTTAAGAGACTTCAGTTACTAGATCCAATCGACCGAAAATTAAAAATAGTACGGGTGTGCGACGTGAATGGACCGGGAGTAGAAAAAAATGGAAGCAGTACGAAG